GGATAAAGAAGTTGTGATACACACACACACACAAACACAATGGAATACTACTCAGTCATAAAAAAGAATAAAATAATGCCATTTGCTGCAACATGGATAGACCTGGAGATCATCATTCTAAATGAAGTAAGCCAGAAAGAGAAAGAAAAATACCATATGATATCACTTATATGTGGAATCTTAACTTCATTTGTGTCTTTTTTTTTTTATCTACAAAACAGACTCACAGACATAGAAAGCAAACTTATGGTTACCAGGGTGGGAAATGAGTGGGAAGGGATAAATTGGGAGTTCGAGATTTACAGATACTAACTACTATATATAAAGTAGACAAACAGTAAGTTTATATACTCTATAGCACAGGGAACTATATTCAATATCCTGTAGTAATCTATAATGAAAAAGAATATGAAAACAAATATATGTATGTATGTATGACTGAAACATTATGCTGTACACCAGAAATTGACACAACATTATAAACTGACTGCACCTCAATTAAAAAGAAAAAAGATAGTGGGCTGGATTTGGCCCGAGAGCTACAGTGTGCTGATTCCTGATCTAACTGAATATTCAATGAGGGCTTCGAGAACTTTGTGGAGTGAACTGATAGGTTCTGTCCATTGTTCTTTTCAGCCTGGATGCGGAAGGGCTTCATGATCTTTTAAGGGGTTGGTGCAGAGTTAGGACTAAAACCCAAATTTTTCAATTTTTGAAGTCCAGGTCCTTCCCCTTTCTAGATGCTGCCTCTGTGGTTGGAGGAAGCACTTACTCCATATGAGGTCTGATGTAGGTCTCTACAAATAGAATCTCACATAATCTTCCCAGCATCCTTTCTGTGGTATTATGATCCCATTTGCAGGTAAAGAAAGACAGGTTTAGAGAGGTTAAGGATTAAAAAAACTGTGAAGTCACCAAGCCAGAATTTATACCCAGGTCTGTTTGACTCCAGGGACTTTGCTGAGGAGTTGACTTGACTTTGGTGAAGAATCCTTTGCCCATCTTCTTTCTCTCTGTCACCCAGGCTTATCCCCCACAAGACTGCTCTTGAATTATAAGTGACTGGATCATGGGGGAAGCAAACAGGGCCCCCACTTTTCAGTAGCAAGTAAATTCTGTGATGGATGAGAGTGACAGAGAGCACATAGGGGAGAAAGGCCCTGTTTTGGTTTGTTTTTCCTGGATCCTTCTTTTAAAAACTATTTTAATTTTGTTTCACTTTTAAAAAATTGAAGTATGAAATCAGTTGATTTACAATATTATATTAGCTTCAGTTGTAAAAATAGTGATTCAGTATTTTTATAGATTATACTCTATTAAAAGTTATTATAAAATACTGGCTATATTCCCTGTGCTGTGCAATATATCCTTGTAGCTTATTTATTTTTACATGGTAGTTTGTGTTCCTTAATCCCTTACCTCTGTTTTGCCCCTTCCCCTTCCTTCCCCCCAGTTAACCACTAGTTTGTTCTCTATATCTGTGAGTCTGTTTCTCCTTTGTTATATTCATTCATTTGTTTTATTTTATTTTATTTTATTTTATTTTATTTTATTTTATTTTTTTCAGTTGATTCAAATGATATGTATTTTTTCCCTCTGTGAAACTGAGTAGAACTGAGGAGGAATCAAAGAAAGCCTCATATATTAAATTCTTACATAGATTCTCTGAATTCAAAAGTTAAGGGTTAACGGGAGAGGCACAGGTGGTGGGCCTTGTCCCGGCAAACAAAGCCACCAAGGCAGTCCTGCAAATTAAGGAGGATGGCAAATCCCTTTCTTCAAAAAAAAAAAAAAAAGAAGTTCTTGAGGGGGAAACACATAAAATATCTAAGTTTCAAAAGCTGGACTCTTCCACACTGTTGCTTCTCTACCCAAGATTGTCCTAAGATAGAGTGTTTTAAGGTTAAGTTTTCAATGTTCAGCTTTTTGCAAATATATCCAAATAGGTTTCTCATGAGCAGTCCTGATTTGGCGATTAATAGCAAGCAATATGCTTGGACTAGAGGTCCGATTTCCACTCGAATGCAAAGTTTCTTCTCTTCCTGCAACAAAGCCATTTGCAGAGATCTGGAAATCATGAGTTTCCTAAGCAGGAGGAGGTACTGTTCTCGTTCACCTGAAAATGCCCTTTCAGATTGGCTGGTGTTGTATAGCCCCCTTTCAAGACCCGGTGTGTGTTGTTGACGACAGTGGGGTCAGGATTGCTGTAGTTGGGTGGGTTTGCATAGGGGTCGTAGCCCAGCCGAGCCAGCATGGGGACGATCTGGGCCATGTCCCTCATCACATCCCTGGGGATGTGGCCGGTCAACTTGGAGAGAGCTTCCAGATTCACGGGTTTGATGACCTGGTCTATGGATCGCTCGATCTTGGACAGGGAGACGCCTGCGGGCTTGCCGATGAGGTCCTCGTGATGCAGGGTGGCGTCGCTCCAGGCGATGCTGAGGATGAGCTTGAGGGAGCGCCGGAGGTGCAGCACCAGCTGCTCGTAGTACATGGGCAGGCATTTGTCCTTGCCCACCTCCATGCACTGGGCATACATCACCTCAATGGCCTTCTTCCACTTGGTGAGGCAGTCGCGGTAGCTGCTGAGATCGAAGCCGGCAATGGTCTTGTGGGTGATCATGGAGGGCATGGAGGCCCAGCCGTCCCGCACCATTAGCAGGAACTTGGAGTTGGGGAACAGGCGTGACAGGTAGACGGACGACTTGAGTGTGAAGGGGTCCTTGTTGCAGAGAACGCTGGCAGGCTCGCCGTGCTGGCGATCACCCCCAGGATGAAGGCCTGCATGGCGGCGTCCAGCACCTTGTCCGTCACACCCGCCTCGTCCAGCCGCAGCTTTTCCCGGCCGGACTTGGACCAGGCCTGGCGCATGGCCAGCACGCGGGGGATGTTGCAGGTCTCCTCGCCACAGCGCACTTCGGGGTGGGCGTCCAGCATGGCGCGCATCAGTGTAGTGCGGCTCCGGGGCACGACCCCCACGAAGATGAGCAGCATGGCCTTGCCGTAGTCGTACTACACGTGGTCCGCGCCCACCGTCACCAGGTCCTCCTGCTCTGGCTGCATGGCTTGTTGGGGGCCCTGTGGGCCTCCCAGCACCTCCTGGCACTCCAGCACCTGCTGCCCTAGCTGGACCACCAGCACCAGAGCCAGGGCAAAGCCAGCTGCCAGCAGCGCCCTCTGCACCGACAGGCACATGCTGGGCCTGGGGCGGGGGGCGTGCTTCAGCGACAGGTCAGAGGGAGACCCGCGGGGCTCGCATCTCCCCTGAGCACCTCATCCCTGGGGTCTAGCCCTCGCAGCTGCTGGCCAAGCTGTCCACCAGCTAAGCCCGTGCGAGGCGCGCCGAGAAAGTGCCGCGCGCCCAGCGACTCGTGGCTCGCCAGCCTCCCAGGCTGGGAGAAGGGGAGATCCATTTGTTCTACTTTTCAGATTCCACATATAAATGACAATAAGTCAGGCAGGAAAAGACAAATAAAAATAATTTTACTGATGTATAAAAAAATGACACACATTTAAAGTGTGCAATTTGATGTTTCAACGTATTTATATACCCATGAAACCATCACCACAATCAAGATAATGAATATATCCGTTGTCCACTCTACCTAAGTTTCCTTATGCCCTTTCGTATCATCCCCTTCTGTCCCTCTCTTCCTCACCCCATCTCCAGCCAATCAGCTATCTGCTTTTTGTCACTATAGATTAGTTTGCATTTTCCAGAACTCTACATAAATGAAAACATACAGTACATATTCTTTTTTGTCTTACTCTTTCACTCAGCATAATTATTTTGTGATTCATTTAAATATGCAGGAGAAGTCCATTCCATTCCATTGCTAGGGAGTATTTCATTGTATGTACTAGAATTTATTTCTCCATTCACCTGCTGATGACATTGGGTTGTTTCCATTTTTTGTTTATTATAAATAAAGCTTCTATGAACATTCATTTACAAGCCTTTGTATGAACATATATTTTCATTTCTCTTCTGTAAATATCTAGGAGTAAAGTGGCTGGGTCAAATATTAGGTATATGGTTTTCTGTTTGGTTGATTTTAGAAACTACCAGACTGTTTTCCAAACTGGTTGAGCATTCCATTTGCACCACATTCTTGCCAACATAGGCTATGGTCATTCCTTTAAATTTAAATTTAGATATTTTAATAGGTGGGTGATCTTAACATGCATTTTCCTAATGACTAATAATCATTTAGGTTTCATTAATTATCATTAGTGACTAATAATAATAGTTTAGTTTTCAACTAAAGATAGTTGAACATCTTTTTTGTGTGCTTATTTGCCATCTGTATATCTTCTTTGCTAAAATATGTGTTCAAATATTTTGCTAATTTTTTTATTGTCTTCTTCATTTTCTTATTATTGAGTTTTGAACACATTTCCTTTATCAGATATCTGATTACAAATATTTTCTCCTAGTTTGTGGCTTGCCTTTTCATTCTCTTAACAGTGTCTTTCAAAGACTGAAAGTTTTTTTATTTTGACAATGTCCAACTTATCTTTTTAAAAAAATTTTAAAGGATCATACTTTTGGTGTTTTATCTAAAAAAAAAAAAACTTTGTCAACCTAGATCACAAAGGCTTTTCATAGGTTTTCTTTTAGAAGCTTTATAGATTTAGGTTTTACATTTAGGTCTATGATCTATTTTGAGTTAATTTTTGGATATGATGGGAGGTATGGATTGAAGTTCAGTTTTTATCCATGTGAATATTCAATTGTTCCAGCACCATTTGTTTAAAAGACTATATTCTCTCCACCAAATTGCATTTTTATTCTTTTCAAAAATCAGCTGTTCACATGTGCAGATCTATTTATGGATTCTCTATTCTGTTTCATTGATCTATTTCTCTATATTGATGCCAGGATCATACTGTACTGACTACTGTAGCTTTACGATGAGTCTTGAAATCAGATGGTGTCCTCTAACTTTATTCTTCTGAAAGACTTTCTTTCTCTTTCCTCAGAAAACAAAGCTACGTGGGAGGGTATAGCTCAGTGGTAGAGCGTGTGCTTAGGCTGCACAGAGTCCTGGGTTCAATCCCCAGTATCTCCAATTAAAAAAAAAGACAACAACAAAAAAAATAAAACAAAGCTGGAGTAAGTGTGGAAAGTTCTGGTTCTAGTTCTTTGCCTGGTCAGTGACCTGAGAGAATCTCTAAAAGCAATCATCCTCTAACCTCAGTCATCTCTGCTTAGCTCCAGTGGCTGTCCTGGAGTTACCTGAAACCCTAAGTCCTCATCAGTCTGAATGAAGTGGCCATGTCTTGTGTCCTGAAAGCAGGAATCAGTGACCAAGGAAAAGGTGGTCCTTAGGAGACAGTGATCACAGGGAAGGCCCATGAGGAGCCTGGCATATGACTGCCCCTGGATGCTCTGTATTGGATTGTGATAAACTGACCTGATCAGAATCTCTTTTGGGGAGTAAGGATATGAAATGCAGACAGAGGTGGAGTTAGGGAGCAGTGGATGCCACTTGTGAGAGGAAGCTGGGCCACTTGGTTCAGCACAGGGATCTTTTGAAAATGGAAATCTGAGCAGGTCACACCTCTACCTCAAACCTTCTGTTGGTCCCTCTTCCTGGACCACACACCCTCTCACCCCAGCCCCCTCACTATGCCTCATCCTCCAGTCTCACCTTAACATCAGCAAGGCTTCCTCTAGATGTGTTGGAGCCCCTGCTTTGCACTTTCCATTTCTAAACACCCATAGTTTAGTGAAATAGTTCATCAATATTGTCTTACTTTCCAGATGGGAAAAGACCCTGTCTTTCTTGTTCAATTTTTTAATTTCTGGAGCTGAGCAATTGGCACATAGAAGATATTTAATGAATGTATGAATGAATGAAACAGTGATGTAAGGTATCTAACACAGCAAATTATACTTAGGAGATGTTCAAGGTATGGCTAATGGAAGGATGGAAGGAAGGAAGGAAGACTTCTGCACTCTCCTACTTTGAGAACTCTGAGACTCAAAATAATGTTATGGCCACAGGAATGCCACTAACTGCTCTCCAGAAACTCCTGTCTCTAACAGCACTGCGTCTTAAACTTGGCTGTGCATCCCAATGACTCAAGGAGATTTAAAATAAAAATTCCCAGGTCCTACTTCTGGTCTAGTGATAATCAGAACATCTCATATTGAAGTAAACTTGAAAATCTGGATTTAAAAAACGAAACATCCAGGCTATTCCGAAGCAGTCCATCCTCATAGGGCTTTTGAGAACTTCACATTTACAGTAGCCAGGGTGTAGATATTCCTTGTGAAGCAATAGCCATACGCGGCTAGAGGCTTCTGTATAGGACTGTGCAGAATTCCTGCCTGTCTCTCTCCTACCGCTGTGCTGTCCAGTGTAGTAGCCACTTGGTACATGTTGCTATTTAAACTTAAATATAAATTAATTAAAGTTAAAGTTAAAAATTCAGTTTTTCATCTACACTGGCCACATTATGAGTGCTCAGTAGCCACTTGTGGTTAGTGGCTGCCGTACTGGACGACACAGATATGAATATTTTCATCACCATAGGAAGCACTATTGGACAGTGTTTTCCCAGAGGGAATTACTCTTTCCAATTTGCAGTTCACATGCTTTGGTGGAATTGATTCTATCCATAGCTCCATGGATGGATGTGTGACCTACAACTGACCAGTCATGGTACTATATGTGACTCAAGTTGTAATTAGAACAAGTGTTGGGATTTTTGCTTAAATGAACATCAAACGTTGTTCTGTTTTCTACTGATATAAACCTGGGTGTGGAGTAGTTTAGGCTGGAGCTGTTGGCAACCGCTTTGTTCTGACATAGGATCAGAGAATGAAGCCAGCAGAGAGGGGAGCAGAGCTAAAAAAAAAAAAAACTGGGTCTTTTTTTTTCTTAAGTTTTACTTATTAAAAAAAATTTAATGGAGGTACTGGGGATTGAACCCAGGACCTCATGCATGCTAAGCATGCACTATACCACTGAGCTATACCTAACCCCCCAAAACTGGGTCTTGATGCTTTTTGAATCTTTAGACAGAAATTGTGCTTGAAGAGAGAAATTTCATTTCAGTGAGCCAAAAAATTCCCTTTTTTTCCCTACTTGCAGCAAAAGAATGATGATTACATACACAGAATGACCATTGTGAGTCACTTCCTCTTTACCTCTCAGTTTCCCTATCTGTAAAATGGGGAGGTTGAAATAATTAGTTCAGTTCAATTGTTCAATCGTATATTGCCCATGTATTGCCAGGAATTTGTGCTTAGTACAGAATAATGATTTAGAAATTCCTGCAAGAATTTGTGATTATTAACCTAACTGTGATGCATTCTGACAATGTCTTATTATTGATATGGACAGAGTGCTCTGGGGCCACAAAGGATGTGCTTGATTTGGCCTTGGAGAAGACTTCACTGTGGAGGTGAGGTGGAGCCTATGTTTTGAAAAATGAGTAGAAGAGGACATTTTAGTTAAAAATGGAATATGAGCAAAACTCCAAATTAAGAAAGCTCATAGTGTGTTTGGAAAAGAGTAGTTCATTATGTTTAGAGCTTAAAATATGAGGGGAAGGGATGGGCTACAGACAAAGAGGTTGGTGAGACCTGATTACCATAGCCCTGAATGCCACTCTGGGGATTTGGGGCTTTCTCTTGCAAGAGAAATGGAAGCAGGGGCCTGTGATGATCAGACTTGCATTTGGTGCGATCACACTTGTGAGCAAGAAAGACAGATTGCTGATGGGGAGAGACGTGAAGTGGAGGGACCAGTTGGTAAGTTATCACAGTGGTGGAGTTGAAAAATGAGGAGACTAAACCATGCATTCAAGAGTAATTTGCAAAGTATTATGTGCTGGATATACTGAATTGGCAGATGTAGATGCTTAAGAAATGATTGTGGAATAACCATTGCTGAGTGAGGAGGGGCATGTTGTGGGAGAGGATGGATTGATCATCTGAAGGTTATGAGTCGGGTGATGGGTGGAAGGGTGTGAAGAGGGGAGTTGGTGGAGGTGTCAGAGCCTGGAGAGGGGCCAAATTAGGACACCAGTGACTTTTACTAGAGCGATTTTAGTAGAATGGCAGGAATGGAAACTGAACCGTAATGCACTGGGTGGTGAAGGCAGTAAGTGTGATGTCTCCTTAAAGAAGACTGGGCATTGAGAAAAAGAGAGAGAACAGTAGCTAGGAGTGAGGGAAGTGGAACGATGGGCCTGTTGGTTGTCTTCCAAGCTTCTGTTCCCCGACTTCTTGCTTCCTGAGAGAACCCCAGTTTTGTTAAGGCTTCTGTCCTACCCCAATGAAACCTTTTTGATTCAGAGTCCCAGAAATGGATACTGATTAATCTAAGCCAATCACAGTAATCTCATTCCTGTCTGCCATTGATAGGCTCAAGAACAGAAGCTTAAGTCCATCAGGGCAGGGCATTCCCTTGATCATTGTTACTTATTGTCCAGGGATGGACACTTGGCTTTGTTGTCCAATTAAACTGATCAAGGGATGTCCATGGAAAACCACAATGAGAGAAGCCAGTCTGAGGACAGAGAGCTGAACCCTCATCTTAATGACACCTGGAGACTGTCCTGCATCCAGACTTTTCATGACTACATTTATTGTATACATCTATGTATACAATACATTTTATAATTGTTTAAACCATTTTATGATTATTTAAACCATTTTAGTTGAATTTTCTGTTACATGCAGCTGAAAGCATCATTGATGCATATCAGTGAATTTTTATTTTACTTTACGGATGGAGGATACTCAAAGTGAAAGGAGAAAGTTCAGAGAAAAGAAAGAAATTACAGACACAAAACAGAAAGAGGAGAATTGATAGGTCAAAATTTACAGGAGAAGTGGGGATGATTGTGCTCAGGACCATTGGTGGAGGAGCTGGCTTGGAAAGAAAACGTCTTCCTTATGGCACAGAAGGGAAAGAGGTAGGAGACTCTGAGTAAATTTGGAGGTGGAGGCAAGTTGACAGAAGGATCTATAGGATTCCTTAGAACTTTACTGCCTGCAACTGCTTGCCCTCTGGTCAAGGAGGTGAGTGGCATCAATTGATAAAATCAAACACACTCAGCAGTATGTGCTGAGAAGTGATCAGGGGCATTTCCATAGGGGAGGAGGACTCTGAGTCATGATGTATGGAGTTAGGGAACAGGGTAGAGGGGTGGAGTGTGGGCACTGTACTTCCATTCCTATTACCTCTTTTAAATGTCGCAGCCCTAAGAAATGTACTGAAGGGGCAGGGAGAGACCAGTTTGGCTGCAGCAGGGAGTTCAAGATGGGGAAAGTCAGGTTGGGGTCAGATCCTAAAGGGTCTTGTGTGGGATTATTCATTTTAATGGACTTTGATCAATATTTCTGACACTTGAGTGAATAAAAAATTTCTTGCTAACACCCACTTTTAACTTAAAAATTATTATTTTTATACATGTAATTTAAAAAATTGTTTTATTTTATTTTGAAGGGGAGGTCATTAGGTCTATTGGTTTATTTATTATTAGTTTTTTTTAACGGAGGTACTGGGGTTGAACCTAGAACCTTGGACCACATGCATGGGCTAAGCATGCATTCTATCCCTTGAGCTATACCCTTCCCGCCAAATTAGTATTAATATAATAGTATCTAGATACATACAGACATGAAACTAAGTGTACACTATTTATGCTTATAATTTTTATATGAACCAGGAAACTAAACCCAATTTACAAATTAATTCCAATAAGGCATAAAATAGAATTCCTCATTAAGTTCGTGGACTAGATAATGATGTTTGCTGAAACTAAACTGCCGCTTGCAAGGCAAATATGAGTTGACTGTTACTGAGAGTGAAGTGCTGATAAGCTGGTTCTCCAGAAAAAAGGAAAGCCTGCTTCATGGTATTTGCTGACTTCCGTGGTATAAATATCCCTGCTATTGACTACCATCACAGTTGTGTTTAACAACTGGCTCTCAAAATACCTGAAAATTTAACAGCTGGCTCTTGTGAGCTGGAACAGGCTGGTTCCAGCACACCATTGCCCTGTAGGTTCTTCTGAACTCCCTGTGCCTATTTTTCTGCATATTCAGTAA